GGGCGGCGTCCCCTCCCTTTCCCTCCGCCCGCTCCGCCCCCGGCTGAAGGTCAGCCGCGCTTTGTTCGCGCCGCGGCCTCCTCGACGCCCTTCGGCGCGCACGTGGACCTGGACGCCGCGCCTTCCGCCGCGCTGAGCGCTCGAACCCGACGAACGGGACGGTGGGTCCTGTGCTGACGCCTCGTGAGCCCCCGCGGCGCGACGGGTGACGGTGGGCTTCTGCTTCGAAAGTCGGGGTGGCTGAGAGAGAGAGAGAGAGAGAGAGAGAGAGAGAGAGAGAGAGAGTGAGAGTGTAGCCCTCAGTGCAGCGAGAGCGCGGAGTCCCGCCGGCTCCCGGGACGAAGGACTTGGATTGAGGGGTCTTGGAGTGATGACCTGGGGGGATTTAAGTATCCAGGCAAGGTGGGCCTCAAGCTAATTGTACTGTGAAAACCCGCTCTCACAGAGATGGAAGAATTTAGCGGTCCGCACTTGTGATGGGTGGGAAAGCCCCTGCGCTTCTCGCAGTTCAGGGGGTTGGAGTCCCGTGTGTGTGTGTTTTTGCCGATAGAGCTTCTTGGTTATTTCCCTGATCCCTCCCTTCTTTCCTGAAGGCTTTTTTGTTGATCTGAGCAGAGCATTGCCTGGTCATGATAAGACTTTCTACCGACCACGGTTCTGGATCTGAGCCTGATGAGGTGTTGACAGACCATGCTTGATATCTGCTAACACAGATTCCAGCGTTAGACTCTTACGGCTCTGTGTGTCTGATCTTCTGAGGGAGTCTTTGCAGCTTCCTGAGCATCGCTGCTTTCTTTACCTTTCAAACCGAATTCTCTGTATTCCTTATAAAAACAAGCCTGTGGTAATTGTCTTACATTAAAAATGCCCAAGTATGGAGATTAAGTAGTTGGCCTTAAAAAAGTTAAGTACAATATTTTTTAAGTTACTTTTCCTGCAGTAGTAACTATACTTCTGAATGACTAACTGCTTCCTACACACCAGGGGCTCCTCTAAGCTCTCTGCATGTATTAACTCATTTCATATAATAACCCATACAATTTAAGTAGAGCACCCTTACCTGAAACGCTTGGAACCAAACATGTTTCAGATTTTAGGTTTTCAAACTTTGAAATATTTACCAAATGAGTTACCTTAATCTGGAAATTCAAAATATCACAAACATGCAGTGTTCAAAAAATTACAAATTTTACAGTGTTTTATGGTTTTGGGGGCCGACCAGATACCTCAATGGACTAAGCACCTGCTTAGGCAAGTGCAGGGACCATGGTTCAATCCTCAACACCACAATGCTGTGCTGGCTCTGCCCCCAGGTGTGCTGAGCAGGCCACTGAGATTACCAGTGGGGAGGCTGAAAACTAGAGGATTGGGGCTGGTGAGATGGCTCAGTGGTCTAAAGCACCTACTTAGAACAGGCTAAGCTCAAGCAAAGCACAGAGACCTCGGTTCAATCCCCCAGCACCACATGCCGGCCCGCCCGCCCCCTGGTGGGCTGAGCTGGCCACACACTAAATAAATAAATATTTTTTAAAAAAAAAACAAAAAACTAGAGGATTACTATGAGTCCGAGCTGTGTAGTGAGACCCAATGCCAAATACATTTTTTAAAAAAAGAAAATATTTTTGGAATAGGGATTCCCAACTTGTACTGCTTGCCATTTCACTGCTAGGGAAACTAAAGGCCCTTTGGTGTTGAGTATGAGTTATCCAAGGCAGCAGGGTTGGGATTAAAACTCTTACAGTTTTAATTTTGTCCAGATTTTGAGCTTATTTGTAGAGAATTCAAAGTTTCAATGGGCTAGGTGTTGTAGCCTGTAATCCCAGCACTTAGGGGGCTGAGGCAGGACATTCTCCCTGTTGAGTTCAAGGCCATCATGAACTATATAGCGTAGACCCTGTTTCAAAGAAGAAAAAGATTTTATTTGGAAATAATGTTATCTTTACTGAACTGAGCCTAAGTAAACTTTTACTTTTTACAATTTATTCATTCATTTAGTACAAGATCTCACTACACATAGACTAATAGTGATCCTCTTGTCTCAGCCTCCCAAGCACTGGGATTACAGGCATGCACCACCATGCCTGGCTTCAGGGTCAGTATGGCATGTGCTATCTGGGATCGAACTTGTGTCCTTGCACTTGCCAGGCAGGTGCTTAGACCACCAAGATATCTCCCCAGCCTGCGCTTTTGTTTTTGAGGACTTGAGTTGGATTATATTTTATAATTCCCTTATCCCAAAGAATGTTAGGTGTTCCCTATGATTTCATGCATCATTTAAACATTTTACTTCCGTCTTAGATGTTACATATGGTTTGCAATCATTTTTTCCTGATCAGCATTACTGATTTGTAAGGTCTGCTGTTTGTACCATTTTTAGATTTTATTTTATTAGTTTGGATCCTGTACTGTTGTTTCAAAGTGAACTTGAGTAGTTATTGAAGGAGTTTGTTGAATTCTTTGCAGTAGCCAATTTTATCATTTGTGGATTACCTGATAAGCTTGATCACTTGAGGACTTTGTCTTCAGAACACACATGATATAATGCCTTTGTGAATGGCCATTTAGATAATCAGACTTAACCTGTGGAATTTTGATTTTTTTTTGAAATCTTTATTTGGTACAGAGTCTACACAGCATGAACTCAGTAGTCCTCCTTTCTCAGTCTGCCTAGCACTGGGATTATAGGCGTGTACCACCATGTCAGTTTTGGTGGCCAGCATGGCACACCTGGGGTTCCTGGGCCAGCACAGCATGCAGTACCTGGAATCAAACATGGGTTGCCAGGCAGGTGCTTAGACCACCAAGTTGTCTCCCCATCACCTACCTGTGGAATTTGGAAATAAAAATTTTTCTACATGGGGACTCCTAAATTGCACAGGGTAAGTTTAAACTGTAATCCACCTGCCTCAGGCTCCCAGAATGCTGAGATTCAGGTACCTGCAACCACATATGACTAGAATTACTTAATTTTTAGAGGTGCTTTTCTTTTGGTGTGTGCAGTTAAAACCTGTTTTTGGTAAATTCCACCGTTCTGAAAATTTTGCCAGAAAACCTAAAATTTGAGGGGAGAAGGAAATCTCTTGGGCTCTAAGACTCATTTAAAATCCTAAGGCCTAAGGGCCATCAGCTACATGAGATATGGTGGAAGAATGCTGCTGGGATCCAGTCCTTTCAGTGATGGCCTATACCAGTATAATAAGCCAGCATCAGTGAGCTTGTTGAGTTAGTCCAGGCTTGTTGGCCAAGGAGCACTTTTTTGTTTAAAAGGAAGTTGGTGCCTCCTTGTAAACCCAGAAAATCCAGAGGCTGAGGCAGGAGGATAGCAAGTTCTTTTTTTTTTTTTTTTTTTTGAGGATAGCAAGTTCAAATCCTGCCTGGGCAGTTTAGCCAGATCCTTCCTGTCTCAAAATGAAAAGGCCATCTAGGTTAGTCTGTCATAGTGGCTCATGTTTGTACTTCCAGCACTCTGGAAGACTAAGAAGAAGGTTGTAAACTCAAGCCCAGTCTAGGCAAATTAGACCTCATTTCAGAATTTGAAAAGGGCTGGAAATGTCCTGTAGCTCAGTGTTAGTGCCCTGGGTTCAGTCTGTAGTACCACAAAAAGAAACAAGCACTGTAGTTTAGGCATCCAGAATAAGAGACATTATAGTTTGACCCTTCTACCTCTTTGGGGATAGGAAGTAGCTGACGCAAAATTTCAGGAAACCAGTCTCTTCCACCCTTACCTTACCATGCATGGTACTGCTGATTAGCAAATTCAAGCCTCCCTGAACTTGAATGGTGATATTTATCTTTGAGCATATCTAGTTAGATGCTAGGGTAGTGGTTTGTGTTTGACCTTTTTAGGAAATGTTTGTGATACAGATTTGTTTTTATCTAGTAGTCATTGGTTTTTCCATCCTTTCTATTAAAGAGGAAACCCATTGGTTTGTTGTTGAATTTTAAATTTCGTATTTAATTAAAGGGATATTTAATAAAGAGGTTTTTTTAGTATAAAAACTACAAAAGGTGGCTTCGTGAACTTTACCCTTTGATCTTGACTGCTCGCTATGTAGTCCTAAATTTCCTCTTAGTCTGTTAAGTATACTGTCAGCTCTATTTTATTTTTTTTAAGGCAGGATCTTTGTAGCTCAGGGTAGCTTTGAACTCACTGTGTAGCTCAGGCTGGCCTCAAACTTGTGGCAATCCTTCTGTCTCAACTTCCTGAGTGCTGGGATTACAGGTATGTGCCACCACACCCAGCGCTCCATCAGCTCTTAAAACTAATGTGCTTCCATCCTGTGTCTAGGGGAAAAGCTTGTTCAAAAATAAGGTGAGATGATTTCTGTTTAGTAGTTTATAGCAGACAAGATGGGCTTTGCACTTCATGTACAGAGTATAACCTACAATAGTACTCCTTTACGCAGTTATTACAGAGTAGTCAGTGTTTTGTATCTGCTTATTTACTCATTCATGCGTTCACTCACTCATGAGCCTTGTCTGTGTGGAACACAATTCTAGGTACTGTGGGTGTCTACTAATTGAACAGACAAAAGGCCTTGATCTTGCTGCTGCTGTGGGAAGCAGAAAAACAAGTTAGATAGTGGAAGTTACTTTGGCAAAAAAAAAAAAAAAAATAGAGAAGAGTGAGGTTTTGAGTGAGTACTTGTAATTTGAAATGGGGTGGAGAAGGAAGTATTTTCATGACAAAGTAACAAGATCTTTACTGAATTTTAAAAACTTTCAGATGTCTATGTCTAGTCATATGTTGAGTGGGACTGGCCTTAAACTAACTATGTAGCTGAGGTTGGCTTCTCTTGCCTCAGCCTCCCAGGTGCTGGTATTACAGGCATGTAGAGCATTTCCACTTATTTATACCTTGTAAAGACATTGAAGACCTTTGAGGTAATGCATTTGCCACCATGTCCAGCTTCCAGATTCCTTTTAAAAGTGGGCAGCCTTCCTGACAAGGCCTGAGACTGTCTTCATAAAACTGACATTAAACTTGGCATTTCAACATTTAAAACCAATAGATAATTTGTTTTTCTCAAACTTGCAAATTTCATAGTTCTTTGTAATTTTCTTTTCTTTTTTTGAAGTACTGGGAATTGAACTCATGATCTTGTGCTTGCCAGGCAGACACTTACACAGCTAAGCTATCTCCCCTGCCAATGCTTTGTAACTTTCTATTTAAACAGTGTTAGGGATTGCTAAACAAAGGTAAATAATCTGTGGTGATGAAATTTGATTCTGTTTTGTTTATAATGTGTCGCCACTCTGTTTTTCCTCATATGAAGCAGTGGCTGCATAGAAGTAATAGGTAGAATAGCCAGTATGTGCATTGCGATCAAGAAGTCGAGGCTGGATGTGTTTTGTGTGCCAGGCACTTGGTTGCCTTCATAGCAGTTCACTTGGATGCCACTTGTAGTTTATACACAAAGGACCTGCAGTGCAGAAGGGTGTAGAAAGTTGGGGAGGCAGAAGTTCAAACCCGCATCAAAATCAGATTATTCATGATGCATGTTTTGTCCTGGAGATTCAGTTCTGGTTGATTTGTTTCCTTTTTAGTCTTCAAAAATATTTACCTTTCCGTTGTTTAAATTCATTTTGTTTTTCTCTTATCTTATTTAGCACATCTTTTCTTATTTAGCACATCATTCTCGTTGTGGTTGTGATCGTGGTGTCATATGTGCTTTTACTTAACTGTCTTGTCATTAAGTCATAAAATGTAATGTTAAGCAGCACGGGTCATCGCACAGATGAATAATGAAGTGAATAGTAGAAGAGTCTGGAAGTTAGAGTAGGTGCCATTACATGGAAAGGTGAATGTTTGGCCTGTGTCTAGAGATATGGCGTTTGTGCCCTCAGAATACCTCCTGTGCGGGAACTGTTACACATTCTGTGGCTGCATAGTGAACAGGATAGAGAGGGAAAGAAAGTTTTCACTCATGTATGCATTTGTTTATTTTGGTACTAGGGATTTAACCCCTGGTTCTGGCATTAAGCTACATTCCCAGACAGGACTTGAATTTGTGGTCTTTCTCAGCTTCTGAAGAGTGCTGGGATTATAGAGTACAGCACCATGCCTGGCTGGCTGGATGCCCTCCCTCCCCTCCCCACCCTTTCCTCCCCTCTTTTCTCCTCCCCTCCCCTTTATCATCATCATTCATTCTCTCTCTCTCTCTCTCTCTCTCTCTCTCTCTCTCCCCCTCCTCTCTCTCTCTCACTCCTCCTCCTCCCTCCCTTTCCCTCCCTCCCTTCTCTGTCTCTCTCCTCTCTCTGTCTCCCTGCTCTCCTCTCTCTTTCACTCTCACTGTCACTCACTCATTCATTTTTTAAGTTTTAAGACAGATTCTTGCTAAGTTTCTTGGGCTGGCCTTGAATTCATTGGCCTTCTGATTATCCAGGAGTGCAGGTGCATACCACCATACCCGGCTTCGTTCTTTTTAGACACTGAACTTCTCAGGACTGTAATCACACAGCAGGATTCTAACCCTGACTGAGCTGGTAGCAGAATTTTTGATTGAGCAGGTAGAAGCAGCTACGGATGATGTGGTTAGTGGCAGTATAGAGATGATCTGGATTTGCACCCCAGTTCCACATCTTGCTAACAATGTTACCTTGGACTAGAATTCTCAGCTTCCTCACTTCTAAATGGAAAATGATCCTTCCTTGGTTGAGCTGATGGTAGTATAGAATATCAGCTAGGAAGTATTGGAAATTAAGCTGTGACCTTATTGGTAGCATTGATTAGTTGGTGAAAATGAGTGTTTATTAAACAGGCAATATTTAGTGGCAGGATAATGTGATCCTTTTAGGGATCAGTGTGTGTAGGTTAGGGAAGGTGCAATTAGATGTAATGTTAGGCAGTGGAGAGCTTTAATTTTATTGCCAAAGTGTAGGAGTTACCAGTGTGAAACCAGTTTGGCAGTGTGTATGAGGATCTGTTCATACACTTTGACCATACAATGCTACCATGGCATTCTAACTGTTACCATATAAATTAAAGAATTAACTGGGGGAATGGAAAGCCTTATTAAACTAAGATATTCAGAGACTATTTCCAAAAGTTTGTCATAGAAACTCTCACCTCAGTATTCCCAAATGGTAAATTCTGTGTTCACTCTTAGGATTTTGTCATCAAATGTAGTCATTATAAAGATCTACCCATCTCACCACATGCACTTATTTTTTAATTTTTTGTGTTTTTGAAACAGGGTCTTGCTACATAGCTTGGACTCATAGTGATCCTCTTGTCTCAGCCTCCCCAGTGCTGGGATTATAGGCATGTGCCACCACACCTGGTTTTGGAGTTGGCATGGCTTGTTCAGGAACTGGGGCTGGCACAGCATGTGGTATTAGGGATCAAACTTGCAACCTTGTGCTTGCCAGGCAGGGGCTTAGACTGCTGAACTGTCTCCCCAGCCCCACCACTTGCATTTGCAATGGGAGAAAAAAAGCACATTATCGACTTAGGAACCCAGGATTGTAGCTGACATGACAGGAGGAATATGAGTTGCAAATAGAGTGGTGAGGTGGGCAGGCTAGAGAGTACAGGAATTTGGATCCTGTGTAGAATGAATTTGGACTCTGCAGAAAGTGAGGTGGACTTTTGAAGGGTTTTTAGTATTTATTTTATGTATGTAGTACAGGGTCCTACTACACAGATCGAACTCATAGTGATCCTCCTGTTTTCAGCCTTCCAAGTGCTGGGATTACAGGCATGCACCACTGTGCCCAGTCTGTATCTGCCTAAGCAGGCGCTTTAATCCGCTGAGCTATCTGGCTGGCCTGGGTTTTTATTTTTTAAACAAATGGGAATTTGTTTACAATTGGAGTTTTCTTTTTTGTTTGTGTGTTTTTTGGGGATTTTTTTTTTTTTTTTGAGGGAGGTTTGTTTTGTTTTGTGGTACGGAGAATTGAACTCAGGACCTTGCACTTGCCAGGCAGGTGCTTATTCTACTGAACTATCTCCCTGGCCTTACAATTTAGAGGGTTTTAAAAACCTCACTGTGATGGTTTTAGGTTTGGCTGCTATGGTGGTGGTATGGGTGTGGCCAGCTATGGTAGGGTTTGTTGCCCTTTTTTGTTTCTTTAAATTGTTTTATGAAAACAACAATATAATATTTCTGTAGTATTGCATATTTTAAATTTTTTTTTTTTTTATTTATTTGAGAGAGAGAGAGAGAGAGAGAGATGTGTGTGTGGCCAGCTCAGCCCACCAGGGGGCGGGGCTGGCTGGCATGTGGTGCTGGGGGATTGAACCGCGGTCCCCGATGCTTTGCTAAGCTTGTTCTAAGTAGGTGCTTTAGACCACTGAGCCATCTCACCAGCCCCAGTATTGCATATTTTAAAACAGCAAAACTGACAGAAACAAAAATATACTTGAGTTGAATACACTTGAGTTAAATACAGGATGATTATAGGTTACATTTTTGTTGTCATCATCCTCATGGTGTATTTTGTAGGGTGGGCAGGGTCTTGCTGTACAGTGCAGTCTGGCTGCAAACTCTTGATACTTCTGTTTTAGCCTCCTGAGTGCTAGGTGTGCAGGTGTGTACTACCACACCCAACTCATGGATCATAAATTCTGATTGGAGTTATTTTTCGCAAATACAAGTTTCTTGTTCTGTATTTCCCTAAAGCTTTGTGGGTGACTGGTTTGGGTATCACTTAGATCCCTGGGAATGAAACAGTAGTCAGGTTTCAGCTGGAGCAGCAGTCTTCAGAAAAGCATAAGTATGTCTCGTGCGTAAGTATGAAGAACTTCATAACCCACCTCAGATTCATTGTTCATAGAAGGCCCTGTTAAGCCGTGTATCAGGTGTCAGCATGAATACATTGAGATGAGGGCTTTAAATTTGGTGTTGTCAAGTTGTTTCATTAAGAAAGCGCTAAGAACCTAATTAAATAACTGATAGATTTTTTTTAAAAAGCACCCCAGAGCCCATCTTTACTATTCATTTATAGAAAGTTGCCTAATTCCACCACCAGAGATAATCATTTTTAAAATGTCTTATAAAAGGAGGGTCATACTGAGTATACATAATTTTTAACAGTAGTATATCTTCAGCATAGAGGTAATAAAAGATAAAAAAATGAGTAGATGAAAGTAGACTATCACCCTGTGGCTTAGTTTGAGAGATAATTAGAGAGCAATAAACAGTGACTGCTGTGAGTTGCTCTCAAATAACTGGGCTAGCATTACTAAATGTTCTGTTGATAAATTTAAGATAGAGGTAAAGCAAATTAGAATTGTTGGTTATTGTGAAATCTGATCATTTTAGGGCCAAGAAGAGAAATTTTATGAGTAAAATTTTTCTCATAATGGTACAAGTCATAGACATTGTATTAAGTGGTGATAATTGTGTATACAAGTAACATCAGGCAAGACATTGCATGTTTCCATCACCCAAGAAAGCTCCATCCTAGTGTATTTCCATCCTCCACATGGTCATTGTTCATGAATGTATCTACCAAAAAAAATAATAATAATAATAATTCCCCATATCTCCAGGTTGTAGCTTCACCTCCCACCTCCCTAGGGAAAGAAAATAGAAACAATACAGAATTTCACTAATCAAAAACCATTCTGAGTAAGGTATATTGAAGAAATAAGTAGTGTCCACTTATACCTTTGCCTTTGTCTTTGACATTTTATAATAATACTTTTAGGGAAATTTAGGGAAATACAGAACAAGAAACTTGTATTTGTTTCAGTAGTATGTATTATTTTGGAGATGTTTTTGTTTGTGAATATAATTGCAACTGTTTTTTAATTTGTAGGGGATAAAAGCATTCAGATGGCAGATAACAGGTAAGCCAAAGTGAATTTTGTATTGGCATTTAAAAATGTAGTTGGTTTAAAAAAAATAGTTGGTGAGCATGAGCCGGGCTATATTTCAGTAAACTTTAGAATCAAAATTAAGTGCATTGGCCAGGCCTAGGGCAGGTGCCAATAATGCCAGCACATAGAGGCTGAGACTAAGAATTGCTGAGTTCAAGGCCAGCCTGGGCTGCATAGTGAATTGAAGGCTAGTCTGCCATGTAGCAAGACTATCTCAATGCATTCGAGGTATAGCTAATACCCATTTTGTGTATAAATATCTGAGTTGGTAAAGAAGTTGCTTCTGCTTCATTCAAGGTGAATGTTATGCTTGCAGACTTTATGTGGGAAACAGTCGTTTTGCTCTCCAGGTTTTAGCTCCACCTCCCTCCTCCCCAGGAAAAGTCACATAAGTAACTTGATGTAGCCATGAGTGGGCAAGGGGAAGATCTTTTTGTGAGTTGTTCAGGGTCAGTGTTGGCTGTTCATTTTCTTCGATGTTTAGTTTTCATAAGGAAGGTATGTCAGCACTTTCCTCATGAAAACTCTTCTCAGACCTGCTTTCATGGAGCTCCATTGTATTTGGAGACTGTATGACTGATTTTCAGAGGGCTATGGGCACTTTGGGCTTTGCTTGATCACCTGATCATATGGTGTCATGTTGGTTGGTTTGGTTTAAGGGCTCAGAGAAGATATTTGAAGAAAGAGATTGTAGAAGTAAGGACAAGGAATCTTTGGCAAGTATTGCAAACAGAACCATCAGAGCAGCCTATGTGTTGGGCTGAAAAGGGGGTGCAGAGTTGTTAAAAAAAATAGAAACAATACAGAATTTCAGTAATCAAAAACCATTCTAAGTAAGGTATATTGAAGAAATAAGTAGTGTTCACTTACACCTTTGCCTTTGTCTGAAATTTTATAATAATACTTTTAAACTCTTAGTTTTTCAGATGGGGTTCCTGCAGATTCTGTGGAAGCTGCTAAAAATGCAAGTAACACAGGTCAGTTTTCTGAATGTGAAACAGCAGTTGGAGAGTTTGCATACAGGTTAGGGAGTCTGCTCTCTGGGATATTTATAGTAATAAATCAATAAGTCATTTTGGTCCTTCAAAGAGTTAAGGATGAAAATCTGTATCCCAATTTAAAAATGTTTTTGTGATACCTGTATTAGTCACCTCACATAACTGAGACAAAATCACTGACATACACAGCTAAGAAACAAACTAAGAAAAGTTTGTTTTGCTCGTGTTTTTAGAGGTTTCAGTTCAGGGTTGACTGGCTCCAAGATAGAAACAGCATGGCAGAGGAAAAGAGCTTGCTTCATGACAACTAGGAAGCAGACATGAGGGAACGAGCCAGGGAAAATGTGTACCCTTCCAAAGCACGAGGCCCCACCTCCTGATGGTGGTCCATCCAGTCACCTTCCTGGGTGTCTCCTAATAAAGTTGGCAGTCAAGATTGACCGTCACAATAGGAAATTCAGATTCTATATGAAATGAGGACATAGTGCACCTCCTTGTATCTAGCCTCTCTCGGCTTGGGCGTTAAAACACATGAGTAGTTTTGATCTGTGCCTGTAATGTTCTTTCCTGTTTGTTTTAATGCAAATCCCAGATACATTATTGTATCCATAAATGTATAAGTGAGATGTTTTTCCTTGTTAAGAAATCTATATTTCTTGAGGGCCAGCCAAATAGCTCAGCGGATTAAAGCGCCTGCTTAGGGATGAAGGGGCTTTGATCCTGGGCCTGCTGTGCTGGCCCCATCCACTCGGGGGGTGGGGGGGGGCATGCTGAGATGGGTGTGGTGACGCGCACCTGTAATCCCAGCTCTTGGGAGGCTGTAAACAGGCAGATCACTATGAGTCCGATCTAGAAGTGAGACCCTGAACACCCTGTAGACCCTTCACTAAAATATGAAAATAAAAAAAAAGAAATCTATATTTCTGTATCTCCCCAACTATCTGAAAGAAAACAAATTGTATATATGTCCTTTTCCCCTAAAACAGTGTAAATCTCCTAAAAAGTAAAATGAATACTTGAAAATTCAATGTCGTCAGCACAACCAAGAACCTTAACCTTGATATTATTATCTAATGTTCATATTTCTCTGGTTTTCTCAGCAACTATGTTTTCATCCCGCACACAAATCTGAGACCTATTCAATGACCATGCATTGTGCTTAGTTACATCTCTTTGTTCTAGCCTCATAGTCCCATTTTTACTTGTACTCGGGGCCAGTTTCCTAGAATGTCTACAGTCTGGTTTTGTCTGCGCGTTTCCTTGTGATGGTACAGTATGGTACACCAGGAGGCATGTGGTGTCAGGTTGTCCCTTTACTAGGGACTCTGAGATTGACAACTTAGTTAAGATGGTGCTTGTCAGACTTTTACCTTAAAAGCACTCTTTTGGGCAGGTATGACTATCCCCCCCTTTACTTCTTCAATGAGCATCAATATTAATTGATACTCTTCCAAATTCAGTAATGTTATTGGTTACAAAAGAGTGCCTTTCCAGTTCCACCATTCTGTTACACGTCACTGATGAAGAGCACACCTTCCCCTCATTAGTGTCTCTGGGCCTGTGGGTTACTTCATTCAGTGTATCAGTTGTGTGTCCAGGTGTCCAGTTTGGGCAGCTGAGGTCCCTTCAGACTGGTCTCGTAAGTCCTTATCTCAGTCAGGTTTTAGATTCCTCTAGCTTTGGAGCAGTGTGATGTTTCATTTCACCTTGAACTCTCCTAGCCTTATACCCAGTATCCACTACCTGTCCAAAAGCCCTTCTGCTTTTGGTAAAGAATAATAACTACAGGGCTGGGGAGATAGCCCAGTGGCCTAAGCACCTGCCTCACAAGTGCAAGGACCTGAGTTTGATCCCCAGTACCACATACCGTACCAGACCTGAAACCTGGCTTGGTGGCGCATGCCTGTAATCTTAGTGTTGGGGAGGCAGAGAAAGGAGGATCACTATGAGTCTGAACTGTGTAGCAAGACCCTGGATCAAAATAATAACAAAAAAGAATAATACACAACAAAAGATGCTTAAAGTATATCACAAAATGTCAAAAAAAAAAATAATAATAACTGCAAACTAGAGTATAGATGCTAACTCATTTTTTTTTTTCTGGACAGAACCAAAAATGTGCTTGTATATATATGCAGTAATTAACATATATATTATATGTAGTTTCATATATGCATTGATGTACACTGTTTCGTGTTAGTGGTTGTATTCAAATGGAGTGCTTATTTGGTATTTGGCTTACCCACATCATACCAGAGCTCCCAAATATTACTGCCTCTTGACTTAAGGGAAGGGCTGTATGTTTGAGTTTCTGTATTGTGTCATTGCAAGAGAAGGTGTTTGACAACCACTTAAGAATCTGCTATGAGGGGCTGGAGAGATGGCTCAGTGGTCTAAAGCACCTATTTGAAACAAGCTTGCCAAAGCACAGGGACCGCGGTTCGATCCCCAGCACCACATGCCAGGCAGACCCGCCCCCAGGTGGGCTGAGCTGGCCACACACACACACACAATAAATAAATGTAATAAATAAA